AAAAAAAAAAAAAAAAAGCTGAAAGTTTTATTTCCTAGTTCAGTCTGAATGACTCAGAAGTTTGGATTTGAGGGCTGGAGATATTGCTCAGTTGGTAGAGTGCTTGCCTAGCATGCACAAAACCCTGGGTTCAATCCCAGCACCAACAAAAAAAAACAAACTCAGAAGTTTGGATTTAGGTTATGGATGTCATAATCTATTTGAAATCACTGGTTACTGTTTTAGAACAAAGAGAAAATAAAGAATCATGTAAATACATTTATGTAACTTACCTTTGAAGCAACAGCATAATAATCAGAGATGAGAAAACATGAAGGATTAAGAAAAGGTGTCTTCACAGATGTCTCCTAAATTCAAAATAAGTATTTAGATTACCACTTTGGCAAAAGAAAGGATTCTGTATTTAGAGGAGCCAAAAAGCTTCAGAAGATAGCTAAAGCTAAAGGAGCAGGTTACAAAATCATGTATGAAAATAAATAGCTTTCCTATACACCTATAATGAATCTACAGAGAAAGAAATCTGAAAAACAATCCTTTCCACAATAGTCTCAAAAAATAAACTAGGAGTAAATCTAACTAAGGAGGTGAAAGATATCTCCAATGAAATCTATCGAACACTTGGGAAATAAACTGAAGAAGACACACGATGGAAAGACCTTCCATATTCATGGATTGGCAGAATTATTATTATTAAAATGGCTATTATACCAAAAGCAACTTACAGATTCAATTCAATCCCCATAAAAATACCAATAATATTCTTCACAGAACTAGAATAGTTCTAAAATACATTTGGAAGACTAAAACACCCAGAATAACCAAAGCAATTCTAAGGCAAAAAAGCAGTGCTAGAGGTATTACAATACCTGACTTCAAATTATACTACAGGGTTGTAGTAACAAAAATTGCATGGTAAAAAAAATAAAATACTTTGGAATCAATCTAACAAAAGAGGTGAAAGACCTCTACAATGAAAATTCCATAACACTAAAGAAAGAAATTGAAGAAGACCTTAGAAGATGGAAAGATCTCCCATGCTCTTGGATAGGCAGAATTAACATTGTCAAAATGGCCAGACTACTAAAACTGTTATACAGATTTAATGCAATTCCTATTAAAATCCCAATGACATTCTTCATAGAACTAGAAAAAGCAATCATGAAATTCATTTGGAAAAATAAGAGACCCAGAATAAGTCAAAGCCATCCTTATCAAGAAGAGTGAAGCAAGAGACATCACAATACCAGACCTTAAACTATGCTACAGAGCAATAATAACAAAACAGCATGATATTAACACCAAAATAGAAATGTAGACCAAAGGTACAAAATAGAAGACAGAGACAAACCCTCATAAATATGGTTTTCTTATACTAGACACAGGCATCGAAAACATACACTAGAGAAAAGATAGCCCATTCAACAAATGGGGCTGGGAAAACTGGAAATCTAAATGAAATTAAACCTCTCTCACTCTCACCCTGCATAAAATCAACTCAAAGTGGATCAAAGACTTAGGCACTAGAACAAAGACCCTACGCCTAATACCATAAAACTTCTAGAATAAATAAATTCATCAGGATATAAAATCATTACCCATAAACCAAATGCATTTCTATACATAAGCAATGAAGCCACTGGAAGAGAAATTAGGAAAACTACGCAATTCACAATAGCCTCAAAAAAAAAAAAAACCAATAAAATGCTTGGGAATCAAAAACTGCATGGTACTCATATAAAAACAGACACATAGACCAATGGTACAGAAGATACTCAAGTAAACCTACACATCTACAGGCATCTGATCCTTGAAGAAAATGCCAAAAACATATACTGGAGAATAGACAATTTTTTCAACACAGGATGCTTGGAAAACTGATATCCATGTGTTGAAAAATGAGATTAGATCCTCTCTCGTCCTGTACAAAAGTCAATTCAAATGAATCAAAAGAAGTAGGAATTAGAACAAAAACTAAGCAACTCCTAGAAGAAAACATTTCAATACTCCAATATATAGCACAGGCAACCACTTATTCAATGGTAACCCTAAAGCTCAGGAAATAATGCTTAGGGGTAATAAATGGGATGGCATCAAATTAAACAGTTTCTGCATAGCAAACAAAACAAGAATGTGAAGAGAACCAACAAAATAGGGGAAAATCTTGCCTACTTTTCTAACAGAGGATTAATAGAGTATATAAATAACTCAAAAGACTAGACACCAAAAAACCAAATAACACAATCAATAAATGGGCAAATGAACTCAACAAACACTTCTCTAAAGAAGAAATACAAGGGGCTGGGGTTGTGGCTCAGTGGTGGAGCGCTTGCCTCACATGTGTGGGGCACTGGGTTCGATCCTCAGCACCACATAAAAACAAACAAATAAACAAAATAAAGGTATCGTTGTCCAGCTACAACTAACAAAATATTAAAAAAAAAGAAGAAATACAAATCGCCAATATATACATGAAAAAAATATTCAACATCATTACCAATTAGGGAAATGCACATCAAAACTCACACTAGTCAGAATGGCAGTTCTCAAGAATACACATAATAATAACAACTGCTATGGAAAGCAGTAAGGGTTTCCTCAAAAGGCTAGGAATGGAACCACCATATGACTCAGCTATACCACTCCATGGTATTTATCCTCAAGAATTTAAAGTCATCATAGTACAGTAATATAGTCATACTCATGTTCACAGCAGCACACTTCACAAGAGCCAAACTATGGAACCAGCTTAGGTGTCCATCAACAGATAAATAGATAAATATATACACAATGTGGGGCTGGGGTTTTCTCTCATGCAGAAGCTAGAGAGGAAAAGGGAAAGAAAGTTGGGGGCAGATCTCATGGAAATCAGTAAAGGGACCAATGATGGGAGGTGGGGAGAGAGGAAGTACTGGGAAGTGATACTGGCCAAGTTATATTGTTATAATGCATACATATATGTAACAACAAATCCCATCAGTATATACACCTGTAATGCACAATTAAAAATGTGAGCCAGGCGTGGTGGCGCACACTTATAATCCCAGTGGCTCAGGAAGCTGAGACAGGAGGATCCTGAGTTCAAAGCCAGCCTCAGCAATGACAAGGCTCTAAGCAAATAAGTGAGACCCTGTCTCTAAATAAAATACAAACTAGGGCTGAGATGTGGCTCAGTGGTTGAGTGCCCCTGAGTTCAATTCCTGGTACCTAAAAAAT